ATGCGAAACAGTTACATTGTCTAAGGTGTAGAGATGCCTGTAAGAAACCCACACGCATGCTATTTTTGAGTAATGTTTTACTATCTATGCAACTGAATAGTATAAAAACCTTCTTGCTTTATTCAGATTCAAAACAAGACTAGACTCATGGAAATTCAGGCAGCAACAAATTATGTGGGCTACCTCAAGAGAAGATAGCACTGTCATTGCCCTCCTTCTTTCACTTCCAAGGTGGCAATTTTTTGCTTTCTTACCCTCACCTGCAGAACCTGAAAAGTATTTTATTCACAACGAAATAGTATGTACATATTAAATGGCCTGACGATAACGAACCAGACATAAAATGAAAATCTTAATTGTAATTAATATACCAAATGAAGCATGAATTCCATGAACAATGGAAGAAAGTCACGAAGTATGTAAAATCCTTCTCCATTAAGAGCTTAACTCTTTCATAGCCTTTCAATTTACCTGGATATCTTGCAGGCAAATTTCATGTGCATCCAAGGAACACTGCAGTCTGGGTTCCAGCAACTTCTTAAGATTTCCAATTGGTTCATTGATGTCTATAGCTTGACTCACAAATTCTGCTGTGGTGTAGGTTTGCTCAACAATGCTTAAATACCAAATTAAAACAACAAATCATTACCTACATGTTCATACATAGGGATAGGAAAAAGGAGAAGTAAACTACATAAGAGGTAATACTGACTCTGAAATCTTAATGCCATGCAACACCTTAGCTTGAGTATAGTGAATTACTAAATTTGTCCTATTGATGTTACAGTTGTGCAACTATTCTTTCACCCTGTTGCCATTAAAAAGCTAAGCCAAATACCAAGATTATTTTCAGATCACCGTTTTCAAGAGATTAAGTCATGATTAGTATGTTATACATTATTAGCATGTAGAATAAACTAATCCTATTTACCTTGCCTAGACTGTATTTAAAGGATATTCAAGTTAAAAACACACACAGAAACTTAACAGGGAAAAAAGAAGGAAAAAATGTTCACTCTCAGAGTAATTAATTGTCCATATCTCTACACCAGACAGCACAAGGACTTAATGCATACAAAAAACAATCAGAAGTAACTACAGCAACATGGAGCCTTGAAGGAAACATTAGTCATGTGTCAGGGGCTGTCCTGCACTAAAATGATGACAGTATCAGTGTAGGCATTCAGAAACATCAATGTGACGGGACACCTGTCTTAACAAGACCTCAGACAGTTGGTCTCTCTACATTTTGATAGAAGGAAATCATAAAGTATATACAGACATAGTTTGTAAGTAGTAAAATATACAAGGAGCTCAGAATAAGAAGAAACTAGTATGTGGTTTTGAATCAGTTCTCCAAAACAGGTTCTTAAAGAGCAGGTCACACAGTGGCCTCAGCTATTTCTATCCAAAACATTAACTGCCTCTCTGTACTTTCAAAAACAGTTGTAAAATTTAGGAGGGAAGCATTAGGAAGTAAAAAAAACCCAACAGGCTGAAGTATCAGACTTCGGTATCTATGGTTTCAATGGCCCCAACAACAATACAGACAATAGATACAGAACATAATTTCTGCCCCGTTAAAAACAAATGATCCTGTGTAACAGTAAAGCAATGGACTGAAGAAATTGAAAGGTTAATCTCAAGTACAGAAGGATATATTGAAGCTGAAAGGTTTGCAGCATGTACATGTAGACATATTCCCACAGACATGAAGGCAGGGGAAGAGGACTATTAAGAATGTAGCAAGAGAAACAAAATGGTTTGGGAATTAAGACTGAAGAACATGATAGCACTATACTGGTTTTCCTATAGTAGCTACAGCTCCACTTGAAGAAAGCCACCATTTATTTAGATAAGAAAAACTGAAGAGAGCACAAGTAAAACTATGAATTTTGTATTCAGCAAGAAAGCTGAAAAACTGTGGAAACAATCAACAGCAGGATTACAGAGATCATATTGAGCCAGTTACATCTGCCAGTTTAAAGTTACTTCTTTTGTCTAGCTAGAAAACACTAATTTCCTAACCATCCATGGCCATCTTTGAAGCATTACACAATAGCCAATAATGAATCTGAATAACCAAACTTAGTGTGTGCAGCCCCAAATCTGAAACCTATTAAAGAAAACAAATAAATAAATGAATTGCAGCCTAAGGACCCCAAAAAGCAAAGACAGTACATACCTTTCTTCAGTGCATTCCTGTTTTTCAGTTCCATCAATTTCTATTTCTATCAGCTCCTCTGCCTCCCTCTTAGTCATGGCTAAAATGTCTTAAGAACAGAGCTGTGAACAGAAAAAGAATTTTTTGTTTGTAAGTCACAGAACAAAACTAGATGATGGGCTGTCCCCTATCAAATATTTTCTAAACCAAATACCAAGATAGCTTTTTAAAGACAAGAATTCACCTAAAAATTAAAGCCAAAATCTACTACAGATTTCACAAAATGACAATATCCGTTTCTCAAACAAATGTTCCAGGGTCAAATCCAGTACTATAAATGGACATTAGCACTGAGTCCAAAGCCTGATTTTCTTGGAGGTATCCAAATTTACTGAATGTCTTTGTTATGGGCCAGCTACAGCTTTCACTGGTTACAGAGAACTTCTGAAAATTCTTTGAAAGTTACGTGTATTTTTGCCATCTAGATGCAGCTACATATTACTTTCCTAGCAAGGCTGAAAGAGGCTGCTTATGAATTTAAGCAGCATTTTACATAAAATGCTGCAACAGGAAGATAGAAGATTCATGATTTCCTCATAAGGAAATAAACTCAACAATAAAGCATTTATTGACAGTCCCATCTTTCCATGCATCCCTCTCAAGGGTCATCACTTGACATGTGCATAAATAGCACATCTTGTTAAGTCTCAAACTAATGCAGGATGTTAGCAATTAAAAAGGAAAGCTATCCTGTGATTATATTCTCATTCACACTGCAGATTTTCACACCCTGTAGAATACTGGAGTCTGTTGGAACGTAAGGGGTAAGAAAGAATTGCAGCATTTGGTCTGTAAAGATATAATATTATCATGCTTCACTAACCATCCCATATATCATATGTATGAAATACACACGATAAAGAACTGGGCCAAATTATATTAACAGTTTACAATAAATAACACAACCAATTCACAGGTAAAGGAGTAGGAAGTAGGAGTACAGAGGAAAAAAAGTCACAGTAGAACGAGCAAACATGCTACTATTTAAATATCCACAATATAAGAGATTAGAGAGGTTTCCATCCTGGAATCATTCCTTCACGGGGGACTACTCTACTGCAAACCCAACACTTTAATAAAGACAAGTTAATAAGGGAACTCATTAGTTTAAAATTTCTCAAAAGGAATAGTAGCCAACTGAGTTGTACAGTTGTTATAGAAAACGTTTAAAGAAATTCAAACTACTCATCATCTCCTTCAAAAACTATTATGTAAAATTAATTTTGAAGAAATCAAGTCCTGCACATGACATCCACCTGTAAGAAGCTACTAGGGCTAGACAGGAAGCAAATGGCACCTCATTAAGTATCTCACAACTAGAAGCAAAACCAGAATCTATCTTTTTTGCCCACAGACCTGGTTCTGTGGAAATCCCCAAACTGCCAGAGTAGGGTCCACTGAACTGCAGTGGTAGTGCCCACTGAACAGGTCCCTGAGAGTCCAATTCCTGTATCGCTTACTCTCGTATATCATCTTCATGATAAATGGGGAAGAACGAACCACCACTTCTGAAGAATGCAGAGAAGCTTAATTAAGTATCTGAAAGAACTGACACCTGCATGGTTACAGGTGATCCGGTTGACTGTTAGAAGATTTTTTGAAACTAAGGTTTGAGCAAAGTCCCTTACTGAATACTCCCAAAGAAGCTAACTGGTATAATGAAAAAGGGGGAAATTCTTTCCTGTATTAGCAATCAGATTAAAAACCCAAACCAACAAGAGTAAGTCATCATTTTTTCTGCAAGGAAAGGAGTTCTGTGAGATTTCTGTTCCTTGATGTACTCATAAGTTATCCATTGAGAAAACAAACACTTCACACGAAGTCTAGAGAAATTTGTTGCTACGGGATGAAGCATTTGTTCAGAGGAACACATAAAACTATGCTTGATTTGTGGAAGGTACCAGCTTGATTGTGGAAGGCCAACCAAACTCTTTTAGTTTTTAATTTCCCTTCAACCTAAAAAGTCTTATACTTACCTGTTATCCAAAAAGGAATCTGACCGTAATGCCTGACACAGACCTTCACTAACTTAAGCAAGAGAAGACACTTCAACAGAGCCTGTTTTTCCCCTGCACAACTGCCCAGTGCTACTCCAGTATCTTTTACAGTTTCACTTTTGCAGTCAGGGGAGAAGTCCCATTGTTCTGTTAAGATCTATCTTTTCTCTTCTCTAGAACACAAGGAATTAAGCAACAAGCCCATCATGATACGGGCACAAACTCCACTAGTAGAATTAGCGTTTGTTATCCTACCAGGTAATTGTGAAGTAGGGGAAACTGCTGGAGCCCACATGCATTATCAACTGATACTGAAACCCAATCACTAGAGATACTTGTGCTCCCAAGAAGCCCCGGAGTTCGTGGAGCATTCGGTACTATCCATCCCTATTATTATTATTCTAATTGTAAATACCAGCACAAACTAGGTAACAAAGCAGACAACCTATCCCTTCCAGATTAGCTTTTACAAGTTACCAGCCAGTTCGGATTTAAGACAAAGACAGTAGACCACCAAACGGGGTGGAGTCACGCCAGATCTGAAGTGGTTTTCTTCCTTATCAACAGTCAGATGTTAGAAAATAAATCCCAACTGGGAGAAGTGGACGTGCAGCACGTACCTGGCGGAACACCAGGAAGCAAACGCAGTAAGATGCCAAATACCCACCCTCTTGCGTTTTCACCCAAGATAAGTAAGTTTTTACAAGTGGAGGGAAGTTCTCACGCCCCGGAGAGGACTCGCGGACCGCGCTCCGGGCCACAGGACCTGCGGCGGGAAGGCTTCACCCGCCCGCTCC